TTTATGATTCTCTCCAGGTTTGGAAAATGTCTTCTACCTGACACAGAGAAAAAGGTACGAGCTGATGGTCAACATGGAAGATTTTGATGGAAACAAAGTGTTTGCTCGTTACTCCTCGTTCTCCATCGATGGGGAGTCTGACGGCTACAGGCTGAATGTATCTGGATTCACTAATGGAGGGGCAGGTGGGTGAATACATATTTAAGTAAGTTGAAAGTGACATTTTGTGCTGGATTCTTGTGGAGAGTCTGTAGGAACAGCAGGTCATGAATCAGTGCCTGGGGAAAGGAGCTCAAATACAGGAGGCTGGTCCAAAAATAGTCCATTTAGAACACTCCCAGTACACCTGCTGATCAGTCTGACTGGGATTAAAGGTAATGTTGGGATTGTTCGTCTGTGTTTCTGTAGGAGATGCCTTGAGTTATCACAACGGACACAAGTTCACTACATTGGACAAAGACCAGGACGGCGCTGCAAGGAACTGTGCACAATCATTTCTGGGGGCGTTCTGGTACAACGGCTGTCACTATGCAAACCCTAACGGGGTTTATCGTTGGGGAGCTGATGGCACTATCTTTGCTGTTGGAGTGGCCTGGCACCAGTGGAAAGGTCATGATTACTCTCTGAAGACCATCAGCATGAAGATCCGTCCTGTGCAGTAAATCTGCAGGACAAACACATCTGTGACATGAATATTTAACAGCAGCAGTCAAAGCAAAGATCGCTTTCCTTTGATTACGAGAGAGAGAAAGATTAGAGATCTTTTTCTTTAAACCTGTTTATGTCCTGTAATGTTACATGATGTGATCTCCTCTGAAATGTTGTCATCAATAAAGCTGCACCAAAAAATTTGACTTTCTCTTTCTTAAGCCCCTCCTTTCTCTCTGAGCTTTTCCACCACTCCATCCCAGCAGACACTCAGTAAGAAGCAGAGTCTGTTTTCCTACCATCAGCTGCACGCGAGCTTTATTACAAGACTGAAAAAATCCCTTCATTTCTACTCTCAGTCTGAACCAGCTGCTGTTGCTCGCTGCCTGAAGGTAAGAAGGTAAGAACCTGCTGCCCCAGGTTGGGGGGGCGCCAGAGGGGGGATTCGCCCAGGGCACCAAACAGGCTAGGGCCGCCACTGCAGCTGAGTGTCATGGTCACTAATGTCACGTAACTTTGCCAACCTTTGGCCAGAAATAAAGTTTTCATGTTCTTTGTTATGGAACATTTGTATCACTACATAAATCATTGGGATAAAACTCAGTACTTATTTTCAGAGGTTTACTTTTCAGGGCCTTCCACCATTAAAAAATTATCCACCACCACACTTCCACATTGGTCTGTTAAGTTATTGTGTCCCCAGAATCTTTCTGATTTTATCTTGTTTAATTTATTTGCTTTTAGTTTTTGCAGCATGCTTTCTATTTCCATTTTCTTTTTTCTATTTTCTTTTCTTTTCGTTT